ATGTTGACATTTGCAGACGACTTTTTAATGTGGTACAAAGCGCATTAAAAAGCCACAAAAAATCAAAGCATCCACCGGTAAAACCAGCTGTTTTGCCAATTATATCTATGGAACAGATGGAGTCCTTTGAGCACATAGAAGAAGACATTTATTTGTCGGTGGTAAGTATTACTCCTAACATAATGCACGCAACATAAAATTTTTTTTTTCTTATGCCCCTATATATTGTACTTTTCATTTATAGGTATGTTACTTTGAATTTCTTGGTGGCTTTCATATTAAAGAGGTAATAAATACGTGCTTGAAAGAAGCAGTACAAGATGCCCTGACGCTGCGTTTCACCTGGTGCGGTAATGAACATCAGAAGTCTTTTTCTCAAACTCGTCTTGTGCGGGCGATTTTTGGTAAATGTTTCTCATTGTTAATAGACATTTATAATTAGTACTATAGCGTTAGTTATGTATACATCTGTCATTTCATTAAAAATGCTTTCTTTTCAGAAGCTGCATGCAATAATAATAATTTTAAATCACCTACTCGATTAGAATTTCAAAAATACATGAAAGAGGTTCTACGAACAGCGAAAGAAAGAAACAGGAGCCGAAGCCGGAAAAAGCAACGGGCAGTCCCGACTGATCAGAGCAATCGTGCTTATTGGAATGATAATGGAAGTAACACTACAAACGACATAAAAAACACGGAGCCCAGTACTGATGAGTAGATATAGGCAGAGACATACAATAATACTATTTTATCCTACAGTATTAATTACAAAGTAAAACGAAACTTTTTTGCGCATTTAACAAAGGATTTTTATGTATACGTATTTATGTCTTTTTTTATGTATATCTATGTTAAAATATTATTTATGTGCAGTATGTATCACATGTTTAGGCACTATTTCAATCTTACAATATGTTTTCATATGCATATGTATGCATATTATTTGTAAGCAGGAGTTTATGTTTTATTTTATGTTTTATTTTGGTACTACATTTTAGAAGAACTGCAATATTAAGTTTTACCAAAGAACAATAGAGAGAGAAAGTTTATTGTCGCCTATAATATATATAATATATTATACTCGTTGAATGTTATACATTATAATAAAT